GTGCTGTTAATGGTATTTTCTAACACAGCTCAGTTTTTAAGTGGTTATGAAAGAGACCCTTGTCTTCGAAATGCTGGCAAAAACAAGTACTGGTATCTTGCACCTTCCACTGACTCCCACTTCACATGCAGCGGCCAACTAGCTTCATAGTTTTAAGGTCCTTTTTCGGGCAAGAAGGGTAGGGAGGAGAGGGGGAGGTATTGCAGGGGGTAATCTGTATATAGAATGGTGGATATCCCTGTTCCAGCAGTACCGTTAGTTTTAGTTTCTGGAGACAGCTTCCTGATGTACTTGTGTAAGGCTAAAAGTGCCATGAAATTACTTATTTCTCTGCTTTTTTCCCAATGGACATAATTTATCATGGAAAAGAGAACAATAAGGCGCAAAGCAAACGTACAACAGCACGTTGCATCGTGCAGAAAAGCATGTTAGCTCAGCTCACGTCCTCCATTTCCCATTTAATTTTATTTGAAAGGTTATTAAAATGCTTAAAATGTTTGGACAAAATTGAGGGTGGGGCACCATCCCCTTCTATTGTATATTTGTATCTATTGTGTCAAAAATTACTGAAATTTCCTTATAGTCCAGCCTATGTTTTAGAGTGGCTTGAAAATACTTCAGGAAGTGAGATTTAGCATGTGCTATTTAGTTATGGTCTTTGAAAGAATTCAGCCTTTTTTTTACCCCCACCCTGTGCAAAATTGAAAGAGCATTTAAATAAGTGCTGAAGGATTATTCCTACACAAGACCCATTCATTATTCATCTCTCTCATTCCTAATGTGAACAGTAATCTGAGTTCTTATATCTTGCATTGAGATTTTAAAATGACAAATTTGTATTGTAACTAAAAGACCTGTAACTGTTCTTTGCAATTCTGTAGGAATTTGTGTTGCTATATATGGGTATAAACTTATTTCTGGAATCTTAAATGCAAGTCAGGCAAGTTTGTTTTTGCACTGTGAATCATAGCTTACTATTTCCTATAGCTTGCATTTTCAAAAGTTCAGTCTGCCAAAAAAAAAACCCCAAAATGAAGGCAAGCCTATCATTATTTGATTTTTTTTTTTTTTTTTCCAGCTTTTTCTGATAAATACAAATTGAAGAGGGGATTTTAAGTAGCTACAAAGCAAGTGTCCTTAGGTATATGGTATGGGCTGGAGGGGATCTATTGGTTCTTGACTCTGAGATATAGGATCTCTTTTTCACATGTGTTTCTGAAAGTTGACAGCTTCGTCAGCACAGCTCATCCTGCTGACAGTCACTCAGGCTAATCTTATTTTGACTCTATTTCTTTAAGTTTCTACTTGGAAAGAGAAAGGAAACTACTTTAACTATCTTTCTTTTATACATTAAGTACATTTTTCAATTTAGATTTTAAATGGATGAAACCTTATAAAGGGGGATGGGGAAAAAAGCCACAAAGGTACTTGGTGTAATGTCAATATAGAAAATTCCCTCTTGCGTGACCACCAGTTTAGCTACTGTTTGCCTCTGTGGCGAGTTTCATTATAAAGAAACCTATTGCAGCTTTGTTTTTACCACTGGAGCTCTTCAGTTATCTCATAGCAAACCTGGGAAAATTCTGTGCGAGTTTAGTTCTTGTAAGAGGCCAGGGTCACAAAATAAGTCAATGGGGTTTTTTTCATTTTTATCCCAATAGAGTATTTACCGATGAAAGAATTTGCCACTTGAAATGAAAGCTCAGTTTAGTCTGTATTAGCGTAGATTCTCATACACTAGCACAGAGTCAGCAATATTTTCCAGCAGTGACCCAGCTTGGGTGTGAGGTGGGAAGGTGCTAGGGCCCAGCCACCTCCAAAAAGGCTAGGTGCCCAGCTGCACTGCAATGCAGGCAGAGCCCCCAGCCACCAAATGCCACCGAAGCCACCGGATCCAAAGGCTCCTTCGGCTTTATGTTGCCAACCTGCAGTAGCACAAAGTGGCAGTCTTTTTAGAGTTAAAAGTATAGTTGAGAAATATTATTACAGTTGAATGTTTACATTGAAATGCCGCTTGCACAAAATGTCAAATATTCGTGTTGGTCTCGATTTTTCTATTTTCCCCTTTTTGCTCATGAAACGTAACAATTTGGGCATAGATCAAACCTAGCGCTTCTTTTAACTCTTCAGCTACCCTGTGCATATAATGCTTGCAGCAGTTATCACACTACTTTATTCCTACCATCCACATTTCTGTGCTTTTGGAAAGCAAAAATCTTAAGTTTAGAGCAGGGCAAGGTTTTTTGAGTCGATGTGATATCTTTTATTAGACCATTAAAAGATATCACATCTACTCGAAGAACCTTGCCTGCCTATGTCCTTAGACCAACACGGCTACAACCAACACCGCAGCAAGTTTAGGGTAGTGCATTTCACAATAGCAATGAGTAATCTGATTTTTAACAATGCTTATTTTATTTGCATATGTATTTTAAAGTCTGATATTTTCTACACGCTGACTTTTACAACAGACAGTTTCTTAGAACTCCATCATTTACCTTGATGGGCCGTTGTCCTGTGACCCAACTGAAATATAAAAAAACCTCTTTGCTGGTTTCTCTTTGCAGATATACAGATGTGATTGATGTCGTACAGGCCCTGCAGACGCACCCTACTCCTGAGGTGAAGTCCTCTTTCATCATTGGGACAATTAATACTTGCGTGGAACCTCTTAGCTGCTATATGGAACATAGGTACATTTTTATCATTTGTATTACTTGGGATTTCAAATGTGCAAATAGTTTGTGGTCCATTCTGTCACAGGAGACCTTTGCATGGGCTATGCTAACATATCTGCCTGTAAAAAACCTCTTTAAAATTGAGACCATCAATTGGAAATGTAAAAATTGCTTTAAAAAGTTAGCCCTTGGAAAGAAATTAAGGTTGGCCTCCATGGATTATTTTAAAAATTAAAGGTAAAATCAATCCTACTTAATTTTACAGTACATTTAAAACACTTCAGTGCTTCTACAGCAATTTTTTATATTTCTTGTTGCCAAGTCATGCCTTTTTATTTCAGTTGGATTTATGCTTTAATTGCAGCTTATTTTTTAGAACTGTAGGTTTAACAAAGACATTACGGACTCAAGGTGTGAAATTTTTTTGGATCTTAGCCCTAAATTTTAAAGGTTAATGTGACAAAGGATGGGAAAGAAAATTCTAGAAATCTCAAGGTTGGATTTCTTAGATTGTGAAAACAGTGGATATATCTGACACTTCAAATAGAGCAGTGCCATTCTTCATGAAGTCTTCTGGCATGCCTCCTCTAAACTGCTGAACCTGAAAAAAAAATCTTAAGGTAGCTAAAAATGTTTCTGTAGGGGATGCTGTTTTGGGGAACAGAACTGATTTTTTTCAGTCTTAATACATGCACTGTATACTATTGTAACAGGTAGCTTTGTATAGGATGTCTTGCAACTAATCTAGTATCTTTTCTTAAAGGTAGAGAGAGTGGGTAGAATTGTGATCCTCAAAGAAAAAATGTGCAGGAGGTTGTCATTATTTAATATAGCTCGCTAGTGTCTTCAGCTTGCAACTAAAGCTTTTGCTCGATACAAGATTATCCTTTCAAGGCTGCAGAGCAAAATCTCATGCAACCAATTTGCTAATAATCAGGGCAAGGGGTACGACTCGTATTAGAAGGATACCGCTCCATTTTGGTCTCAGTGCAGAAGCAAGTATGTAACACAAAGACAAAAGCCATTTCAGTTCTCAGGAAGCAGACTGAAGGACCCAAACACAATAAATCTAACTCTTCCAGAATTTTTTAGTGAATACCAGTTTGGCTTTCCTATAATTTTTCAATTTGCTGTAGATAATGTTAGCCAGAAATAGATGTTACTAAAAATACTCCGTTAGGCCTATGATCAAAGGGATTGCAGGTTATCTTCTGAAGTGTGAAGTAGCTGTTGATGGGGAAAAGACACAGCCCCTGTCACAGCTATTTCTGTCTCACTTTGAAGTTCCTTCTGGTAATAGCTTATAGAAGTACAAAATCAGGCAGACCTTAAATGGCCTCATGGTTTCAGTGCAACTAGAAGTCTGAGTGTCAAAACTTCAACCATTTCACTCAAAAGAGTCCCAAAAGCTGATGATGTGGGGTGGTGTTCGGTTTGAACCTTGTGTTAGGGAGCAGGAGGGTGTCTCTTAAGTTCCTCACTGTAGCTGTTCAGCTACATCACGCTCCGAGGTTGTCGTATCAAGTGTCTTTATGATGGGAGGCAATGGGGAGGGTAAGGGAAATATTTATTTTAGTTCCAGATCTGTTGTACTGGAGTTGCTATAGGTGTGATCATTGAGCAGTCACTTCAGCAGTGATGTATTTTTATCTCTCCATGCCAGAAGCTTGTGTAGGCTTTGAGCTACAGGTAAAGAACACCAAAGGCATGCATCATCCCATAAACAGCATAGGCTGTTTTAAAGACATGATCATGCTGGTTAAGTTTTTCAAAATACATGCCAACACTTTGCTAATTAATGCAGTGCAATACAAGATGGGGGGTGCATCTACCCATGCACTTTACTGTGGAGGAGACTAATTAGCCCCATAGTAAAGCATCGCCATCGACACGCGCTGATATTGGGGTGCAGTAAACCAGTTAATTCTCCCATAAGATTGTACTGTTGGGCACAGTGCTATCTTAAGGAGGAGTAATTAACTGCACTGAAACGCACGTGAAGACGGTGACCAGGTGAGGGCCAGACTCCTGCCTGCTGCCTGGCCACACAGCTCCGCATGTTCAGCACCCTTGTGCCCCATCCAGCCCTTCTGCTGCCATCTGGAGCCCAGGGCTGATCCCCAATGTCCCCTGCCAGCCCAGGCCTGCTCTGCTACGGCTCAAATTGCTGCTGTCCCAGGAGCAGTGTAGACACTGCTCCTGGGAGCAATTTACTCTAGCTCAAATAGCTCCAGAGTTTATTGCTTCGTCTTAATTTCATGTGTAGATGCCCCCAGGATGAACAATGGGAAGTAGTCTGTGAAGCCAGGAAGCTTCATAGAAAAATAATTGTCCAAGTGCTTCTAAAGGAAAGGAGAGTGCTTGGGTAAATGTTACCTGGGAGACTTCTGCTAGCATGAAAGAAAATAGGAAAATGAGTTTCAGTCGTGGTGGCTGCAGGTCAGGTATTATCATTGTCAGTGCCCAAATAGTTGGGAAGTCTTCAGCTCTTTTAAAATAGGTAATATGGTCGCTTTCTTATGGTTAACATGATTTCTTTTTGTTTCCTAGATTTCTTTTTCCTAAGTTCCTGGACCAGTGTTCACAAGGTACATACTTTCATTTTTCTTTAGCAAATAATGCAAAACAAAATACTTTGGCCTAAAAGTATTGTCTGGATCACTGGATTCCAACGTTCTTTAGTCTGAACACCAAACACGTGTTTTTTCAAAACAGTCTTTTGCAGTACTGGAGAAAATGGTCACATGTGCCTGGAGTCCTACGCCTCTTCCCCCAGTGCCTAGCATGGGAGGTGTGTTGGGAAGAAGCGATGGCTAGACTGCATCGCATTTCAGATACTCCCAGCCCATGGGTTTTTTTGCTGTCTGACATGCAGCAGAGTAGACTCCTAGCTGCTATAATCTTGGGTGTGATGGGGAATTAAGAAACTGCAACTCGTTGGGTTTTCAGTTCCATTCTGCTGGACAGCAGTGTGAGGAAACTGGAGCCATCTGTCCAAGCCACCCTGGCTCGGATGAACCCAGTCCTTTCCTCATAACCTAGTGAAGCAGGCAGTGGGACAGTTAAGGGGGTTCCCTTTATTTCCTTTGCTCTGATGCAATAGGGAGGTGCCCAGTTCTTTCAATCCGTATCTGCATGGCTGCTGTACTTGCAGGCAAGACAGGAGACTATCTGCCCTGTTCCCCCATTTCCTCCTTTAGCAGTTGGTCCAGTTAAAACATTTCAGTGCAGGGCATAACTCTGGGGTTGCATTTATTTGTAATGAAATCCACTTTCTTTATAACATCCTTAAGAACCTCATGCTGAATAGCACAGCTTTTAGATTTCAGATAAGAAGTAACAATGGCTGAGTCCATGTTTTGATGAATGGACTGTAACATGGATAGAAAGCTGGCTGGGTCATTGGGTTCAATGGGTAGTGATCATGGTCAGTGTCTCGCTGTCTAGTTGGCAGCTGGTATCAAATGGAGTGTCCCATGGGCTGGTCCTGGGCTTGGTTTTATTCAATACCTTCATTAACAATCTGGAAGATGGCATAGAGTGCACCCTCACCTAGTTTTCAGATGACGCCAAGCTGGGGGAGTAGTAAATATGATAGAGGGTCAAGCTAGGATTCAGAGTGACCTTGACAAATTGAAGAGTTGGGCCAAAAGAAATCTCATGCAGTTCAACAAGGACAAGTGCAAAGTCCTGCACGTAGAACAGAACAGTCCCATGTGCCAGGACAGGCTGGGGGCTGACTGACTGGGCAGCAGCTCTGCAGAAAAGGACCTGGAGGTGACAATGGGCAATAAGCTGGATATAAGTCAGCAGTGTGCCGTTGTTGCCAAGAAGGCTACCGGCATCCTGGGCTACATTGGTAGAAGCACTGCCAGCAGATAGAGGGCAGTGATTTTTTCCCCTCTATTCAGCACTGGGGAGGCCACATCTGGAGTCCTGTGTCCAGTTGTGGGGCTTCCACTACAGAAAGGATGTGGACACATTGGAGAGAGTCCAGCGGAGGGCATTGAAAATGGTTAAGGGACTGGAGGACAGGACTGGTGAGGAGAGGCTGAGGGAACTGGGCTGATTGAGTCTGGAGAAGAGAAGGCTGAGGGGGATTGAATAGCAGCCTTCACCTCCCTGCAGGGGGGCTGCAAAGAGGATGGAGCTGGGCTGTTGTCAGTGGGGGCAGATGGCAGAACAAGGAGCAACGGGCTCAAACTGCAGCAAGGGAAGTTGAGGTTGGATGTTAGGATAGACATTCTCACGAGGAGGGTGGTGAAACACTGGAACAGGCTCCCCAGAGAGGTGGTGGAGTCTCCATCCTTGGAGGTGTTGAAGACCTGGCTAGACAAAGCCTTGGCTGGGATGATGTAGTTGGGGCTGGTCCTGCTTGGAGCAGGAGGTTGGACTAGATGTAACCTCCTGAGGTCCCTTCCTGCCCTCGTTTTCTATGATTTTTGATTTTGTGTTTGTGTGTCATGCTACATATTGCTCAGTGAGCTGAATGAAAGTGTTACTGCATGAAAATTCCCTTCTGGGAGGCATCTCTATGTAGAGACAAAGATTGAAATTGTGTTTATCTCTTGTAACAGTTGCTTCCTTTTCTCTGAATTCTTGAAAAAATTTATGGAAGTGCTTTGTTCCCTTGTAGCTATAATTTCAATGAAAACTGCTTTTTAGTATGACAGAAATCTCATTTTACTCTGAAGTGACAAAATAAGAATGGCACTGCTTTCAAGAGATCTGTTTTTAGTCATATCTGCTGACTTAGAAACAAAGTGCTTAGTACCTTATCCTGCTGTTCACAGGAGGAAGTCAGAACAGGTGAGAGTGTCCCTTTACAACAGGAGTATCCCTGTCTCCGCACGCATAATTGAGCAAATTGTCATTTAAGTTTTAAGTGGAAGACTAAAATCAGAAACTGCCTCCTGTGAGATCCTGGTGAAGACTCTTGTGTTTGTTCAATGTGATCAAAACAGTGATGATGAAAAGTACTGTTCTTAAAAGTAAAAAGACAATATCCCCTTCCCTGCATGGTCAACCGGAGATCAGAAAGCTGCTATTCTTGCCCTCATTATGATAGGAAAGAGTCCCTGGTCACGCCTCACCTCAGTTAGTTTGGCATTTTTAGGGTTGTAGCTATAGCTGTAAGAACAAATTCTTTACCTCTTGTTTGACACTTTAACTTGATAGTCTTGTTACCCCATATCAGAAAAGATGACGTATATGTTTGCATTGTTGTGCTGAAAGGAGACGTTAAGAGAAAAAACCCTCCTTTGAATAACTGAAATTAAGAAGAGATGACTATAATTGGGAAACAAACCCTGAGAGAATGGAATAGTGAATAACATAAACTGCATTATGTATTTATGCCATTATAAGAATGGATGTTTTACCCCATTTGTAACATTTAAAGGACGTTCACAAAGGAGCAACACAAGGGGTTAGGGATGTGGAGGAAATTCTGTTATGAAGAGGAATTTTAAAATTGGGTCTGTTTGAAACCGTCCTCTAAATAGACTAAGTGGGTGGTATTGAGAAATTGTCTGTCACAAGAGCAAGGGTCACTAATTAAACTAAGAAGTGGTAAATGCAAAAATTCTCTGTGACTTGGGAACTCATCGCCACAGGATATTAAGGCTAAGAATTGATCAACATCCAAAGACTATTTGGGCTCTTCCTGCATACTTTTGCCCATATGTTGTGATATCAATGCAGAAGGGAGAAGAATTCCAGAGATAAGTCCCTGGAGATGAAAGCCTCTTTGAAGAGTGCCAGATTATCTCATGGCTGCCGGATGCTTGGCCTCTTGTCCCTTTCTTTGGAAATGAATAATTGCTGTTGGAGACGAGATACTGAAGTAGGTGGACCTGGACTCTCCCCCAGAACGGCAAATCCAGTGTTGCTGAGAAGGTGCTGATTTTCTAATACTGTTTTTAGGAGGAAAAGTCCAGTTGAACAGTACTTGAAGTTCAAGTTCCCTTTATAGTTCATTGTTGCCTGAGGCCCTCTATCCATGTTAGCCGTTGCATGTCTCTGTTCCACGTTCCTCTTTCTCATCTACACCTATTGTGTTACTGCAGTATATACCAACCCTAGTCACGGCTGTAGGGACCCCATTGTGCCAAGGACTATGTAAATATGGAAGAAAAAGCTTGCAGCACAAGTCCCAAGCCGAGGCAACAGATGGATATGACTGGGGGGTGGTGGAAATGAGAAAATATTAATCAGTGTGATGAACAGTTACCTCAGATGCATTTTGCTAATTTGCTGTAAAAGCTCCCGTTTCAGGGGGTCAGTAGGCACAGTAAGATGACGCATTAACTTTTAGCCCTAGACTTGCAGTTCTGCGGTACAGCTTCCAGATCTCGGCACTTAGTGAATACGCGTCTGCATTACAGAAACAACATGCAATTTAACATGATGGACAGTTCTTGCTTTGGAAAGCCACAAGACTTGAATAACAGGTCAGGCCAGAATGGGATTGGGAGAAGTCTAATGAGGAACTTTCACAGCACCTGTCAGTACTATGTGTAGCCTTAGGCAGTTCTCTCTTGTTTCTTCCTTGCATAAGCATTTTAAAATTGCCCAAATAGACTCTCATCCATCTCTCTCCTACATACTCCTGCAGTCCCCTCTTACTCTCAGACCATTAAATTGCTATCTCTTGCAGCTTTATTTTTGGACAGAGGTGGGGGGAGAGGGCAGTCTCTTCTCTATGGATGAGATACACCAGAGGATCTCTTAATAGCAGATATCAATGTGGCATAAAATTGTCTATCTATATCTGGGAGTGGGAAAGGATGGATGATTGTTGTAAAATAAACCTACGTGAGCTTTCCTTGCTCTTTCCTAACAGTTATTCCCTGGGTTGAGCACATTCCTGCTAACTTCATTTAGACTGGTTTGCAAATAAGGAGACAAAACCAAGCCCTCTTGGAAATACAGTGAAGCGAGGGCAGTTCAAGTGGTGAAAGGTCCAAATCAGTAGGGAGTGAAATTGGGTTTAAGGATCTCCAATTTTCACTTAACTACCTTCTTGTCTCAGTCTTCCTTCTTACCCCTTATGTCCAGTTGCCTGTTTTTGATAATGAGGCCCAATCTTGTGAATACGTGCAGACACGGCTAAAGGTCTGCGCATTATTGTCTGCGGGACTCGCAGAGCAGAAACAATTTCAAGTAGCTCCATAAGGTTGTGTGGGACTTCATAGACAGCCACTATGGTAGAAATGATTCTCAAATACCCATCAGTGCCTGTGAACAAGAAGTGTAAGACAACACTTCTTCCCTTCCACTTTTTTTTTACCCAATTTCTGATTTTCTTGATACCGTTTTGTCTGTGTCTCTCGTTTGTTTTCAATCCTTGACCTCTCGGTAGTTCTGTACATAAAATATTTATAGCACAATAGTAGCATATGCTATGTCAATTAAAACAACACTAATGTAAACGTGCTGTTATTTTTTTCCATCAAAATTGTAAATTAATTTATAGCAAGCAATTTGCAGTTGATCCATTTGGTGGCGCCAGTCAAATGAAGGAAAATATTTTCAAGTAGATATCCAGTATTATGTGCAGCATGAAATTATGCTGTGCTTAGTGGTGTGTCTAGTCTTACCTTGTATTTCAGTTCATTTGGGTTCACAAACATGAACTCGTGAATCTATCTGTTAACGTTCGAATTTCTCTGTACGTGTTCATCTGTCTCCAGTCTCTCCGTCCAAGTTTTGTTATCCACAACTGTCGATGTTTCTTAGGTTACTGTAAGAACTTTTGAGGGATGCAAATGATACGTTGTTGAATTAAATGTTAACGTTTCAGAATTTCTTTCCACTAGTTTTTCTCAAAGGGTTCAGTTGCGCAAGTCCCCTTTCTTCGGTCTCAGTTTAGTGCCCCTAGCATAGGGAAAATACCTGAAGTAGGCTACAGATTGTGCTAGGGACACAACAATCCTCTCTTAATGCTGAAGCAATAGTGTTGGATTTACTAGGGGCCCTACATGGTCAGCTCTGTCATCCCTTAGATGAGGAATTAGCATTTCCTTCTGGAAGAATTCCTGTGTCACATAATTGGAGATGAATGATCACAAAATGCCTTGAGAAATGAGTAGGGGGATCACATCCGAATGCCATTATACATTCTTTTCCTTCATAAAAACAATTCCAGCGCCCAAGGCTTGTTGGCTCTGCTGTCTCCGATTCCCTTTAGAAGACATTTGCAGCAGCAACAGCTGGTTCCCATTAAACCTGCAGTTTGTCTGCATGGTGTACCTGTTACTTTGCCAGGTACAAAATGGCGTTTTCTATATTTAAATGCTGGAAGGCTCTTCTGGTTGAGAACAATAATTGTTTCTTAGCTCCCTTTGATGGAGTTAGACCTGAATAAAAGGATAACCTCATGGACATGAAGGGGGCAAGGTTACTTTTACTGCAGCATCTGCTACTGCTGCTTCTCTCAAGTTGGTCTCAGGAAATTAGTCATCCTGCGAGGTTTCTTTTAATGTATCTTTTGGTTTTGTGGTGAAAAGAGACATCTTGGAATCTTCTTTCCAGGAAGAAAATCTTTTCTCTTGCTTTTACAAGTGGGTTTTTATCCGAGTCTAACATTTCAGCTATAGACAGTAAGGATTAACATTAAAAATAGCTGGGAACGCTCAAAGCCTTATGAAAAGCTCAATGCCTAGAAGTAGCTTTTTATTAAATTGGCCCTTTTATTCTCTCCTTTTCTTGTTTAATTTGGTTTTTGCATTTACTGATCAGCTTCCATTTTCATTTGTTTGCCATCAATTAAATGTCGTAGCTTGCTTTTTTTTTTAGAGCCACAAGGCATCCAGCTGTTGTTTGCTAAGGAAGAGACTCCTGTTTAGCAAAATCTCCACCTGGCTTGGCAGAGAGAGGCGCTATACCAGTGGTCAGCAGCCTTTCAAGCCACGGGCTGGAACAACCAGGCTTCAGTCCAGTGTGGGCTGGGTGGTTTCCATGACGTATCAGTGGTGGGGGGCTTTGCTTGCACCCTTTCCAGGCCCAGGCAACTGGGAGCTGCGCTTGTGCTGCTGCTACTTCTCCCAGTCACCCAACCCTTGGCTGGGGCACAGGTGCAGCTTGCAGGCAGTGTGGTGCTGCCCTGAGGTCAGGCAGCTGGAAGCCACTTCATCGCTGCTGTGACTTCTTCTGCACACCAGCTCAAACGTGGGGAGGAGAGGGGGAAACGTGGGGGAAGTGGCAGCAGCATGGACACAGCTTGCAGCTGCTGAGCCCTAACACAGCTCTGCACTGTTTGGAAGCTGCACCCACACCCCCTCCAGGGGTTCGGGAGCTTGGGGCCAGGGAGGATCAGCAGCAGTGGCAAGGTGCAGCCTAGCCCTACTCAGGTCCCTGGCTCAGATGCAGGCATGGTTATGGGCAAAGCTTTGAAGCTCTGCAGGCCACATCTAACCCACAGGCCATATGTTGCTGACCTCTGCACCATAGTCCTTTAAGAGCTACTGAGTTATGGGAATCACAATATTCAGACTCCTGCTCTTTCATGTCTCCATGGGCACTTCAATACATGGTCCGGGCGTGATGGTGAGGGGGGCAGCGCTTTAACTAGAGCAGTTCAGAGAGCCGCTCTAATTAAAGCACCACAGCATCTTGTGCATCAGTGTCCCTGCACCTGAAAAATTCAACAAGTTTTAGTTCAAGCACCCCTGCCACCACTTTTAATCATGGGGACTCTGATACACAAGATACGGGAGGCTGCTGGAGCACAGTAATTACCACACTCCAGCAGACTCAATAAATCGAGTCTGCTCCAATGCTTTCTAATTACAGCACATTGGAACTGCCTCCACACTCATGTATAGGCACCCCATATGTCCAAGGTTGTTGGTAGTCTGTCTTAAAGACTTTTTAGTAGTTGAAATTATGCTTCGAGAATTATTTCTAGGAACATTGCTGTAATGTGTTAGTGGAAAGGAGCCTGAATGTTAGTGGAAAGGCTGAGCCTGGTCCTCAGCTTCCTAAATAGAGGAAGTTTGGTATGATCTCAGCAGTTTTGCTGCTCAAAGCAAGGGGGTTGGACTTCACGATCTTTCAGGGTCCCTTCCGTCCTTTAATTTCTGTGATTCTATGATCTTATCGCTCTGAAGCAATCTGCCAGCTGCTTTTACAGGGAGTAAATGCCATCATGCCCTAAGGCCTTTGAAAGGAGCAGGGGATAGCTCCTTGTTCATCCAAAATCCAAGTGAGGGGTTAGTAATGCTATCTATGGTCAAGCTATTGTTCATATTTGCAGTGGGTATCAGGGAGGCAAAGATTAAGGGACACAAAGGATCATTTTACTTGTTCTGTTTTAATGACCTTGTTTTGAAAACTTCAAAATATCTATTGTGGACCTGAAGGTGATGAGACAGCATTTGCTTTCAAATGACTTTGCCTTTCATGAAGGATGCAAATGTGACCCAAAGTGGTTGCTCCCTTTACTACGGAAAAATGCAAAGGAGAGGACCTTATCTCAGTCCTGTTCTGCTATTCTTATCCAAATGCTGTGTAGAGTATGGCTGCTGGATTAGTTAGGCAGACAACATTTTAATTAGGATAGTAAGTTTTTTTTTTTCTTTACTTCAGTTAAGTGGTAGTAGCAGTAATTCCTTGCATCCTTTGATCTCTGTTCAAGTTGAAGCCTTATTAATTCATTGTAAGGACGGTAAATATCCCTGTTTTACTGATCGGGAAAATTTGAAGTATTAAGTGTCAGTACTTCTTTGCCTTTCCAAGTTGGATACAAAGCTGAGATTAGAAGTGAGTTGTAGACTCAAACCACTAGCAACTCAGTGCCTCTTGTGTTGGCTTTGAAATGCTCGTTTTTGTATAGGAATCATATATCTACGGAAGATAACAGGTAATTGTCACACTTAACATTTTTACACAATAGGAACAATTTTTGTAGCACAGGACACCTAACAGGGCCTCTGTACATTCATGCTGACTCCTTTGATGGTCCTTTTCCTCATTGTCCCTTCAGGTCTTTTTCTACTAATCAGCACAGCTACAAGATTTTTAAGGATAAAATATTGTGAGGTTGTGGCTTTGTTTCGAGTACTTGTTGGACATGAGAAATTGGCTAATTACTAAGGTTATTTAGTCTGGAGAAGATAAAGCTTAAGTGGCATGGGGGGTGGATTTGATAATTCTTCAGATGCCTGAAGAGCAGTTACAGAGAGGATGGAGATGGGCGTTTTCTGTGGCCAGAGGGGACAGGATTAGAAGCAATGGCCTCAAGCTGCAACAGAGGACATGTTAGGTCAGAGATTAGGAAGAACTTTTCTGACTATCACAGTGGTCAAGCACTGGAACAGATACCTAGAGAAGTTGGGGAAACTCTGTCTCTGGAAGTACTCAAAAGCAGGTTGGATGGGCACTTAGCTGGGATGGTTTAGTCGTGACTGATCCTTCTTTGATCAGGGGCTGAACTAGAGGACTTTATGAGGTCCCACCCAGCTCTACTTTTTTATGATCCTGTAAATGCTTGCTTATATGCATACTTTTTTTGCTTAGAGCATTACAAAATGGTTTGTGAGGTGACGATCAACATTTTTAGGTTTTTACATCCAAAATACACACTTTTGTTTTCTTTCTAACGTCTACTTATTGCATCCCTTGAGAGGTTTTTGAGATGCAGGGCCTATACCTTTTTATGGTTTTTATAGAGTTTGATACAATGGGCCCCTAACCTAGTTTGCCTTTTTCAGTTGTGTTTTGCAATATAAATGTAAATTCTATTTTTGTTGATTTTGTTCCACATAATTTAATCGTGTGCTCTGCTGCTTGTTTTCAATAAGCTAAGCTGTCCTTAATGTGCTGAGATACAAAATGTATTGATTGGGATATGGGGTGGGAAAACGTTCTTGACACAGAACTCAGTCATACGTTATAGCTTTTCATAGTAGTGTAGATGACTTGACTAAATTGTTCCCCAATTTTCTCTTACAGGACTAGTGAGCAATGTAGTCTTCACAAGTCACACTGCTGAACAGAGACACCCACTTCTTGTACAAATGCAGAGCCTTATCCGAGCTGCAAACCCCATGGTTTCATTTATCCTGGCAGAAAATGGAGTTGTAACAAGGTAATGCTAAAGTGTATGCTACTTTTGATTCTTATGCTGCGAATGAAAAACAAAAATGAGCTGATCCCTGTGGCTTTTCTTTTTGTTCAGGGGGAGGGGAGATTATGGGCTAACACTAGCAAAAAGTTTTTTTTTGAGCCTTTATTTCTCTAATAACAGGAATCCTTATCTGTTCTTTGAATGTTGACATTTTTACGCATGTCTGATGTATTTCATGCTGATATTCTAAAGCAGAGGTACCCAACTTTCCTGCCCCACGAACTGGTTGAGTGGCATAGGGTCAGTCTGCTGGCCAAATCTCATGTGGGCTTGGTCTGCAGTTGCAAGCCAGTATACTGGCCTGGCTCCATGCATCTGGATCCAGCTGCAGGCCATCCCAGTTTAACATGCAAGGCTATATCATCCATCCCCTGGAGCTCCTTCAGGTCCAGAAATTTGGCAGCATGGGAGCTGTCATTAACCCTGCCACCGCTACCTCACTGCCAAATTTCCAGCCCCTTTGGGAGCCCCCAGAATAATGACACTGCTCTGCAGGCCACAGATCAAGCACCACTTTTTTAAAGCAGTGTGATTTACAACAGATTTAAGTGTTAGAAAAGGGAACCTACACAATTCACAAGTTCCTAATTCAGCAAGTAAGTCCTATTGAATGTGAACAAAAGTTTTGTATTTGGGGTTCCCCTGAAGTCAGAGAATCATAGAAAATTAGGGTTAGAAGGGACTTTAGGGAGCTGTCCAGTCTTAACCCCCTGCTCAAAGCAGGAACACCCCCACCTATATCATCCCAGCCAAGGCTTTGTCTTGCCAGGTCTTAAAAACCTCCAAGGATGGAGATTCCACAGCCTCCCTGGGCAGCTTGGTCCAGTGTTTTACTACCTTCCTAGTGAGAGTTTTTCCAATATCTAACCTAAACTTTCCTTGCTGCAACTGAGCCCATTGCTCCTTGTTCTGTTATCTGCCACCACTGAGAACAGCCAAGCTCCATCCTCTTTGGACCCCTGTGCAGGTAGTTGTAGACTGCTATTAAATCACCCTCAGTCTTGTCTTCTGCAGATTGTATAAGCCCAGTTCTCTCATCGTCTCTTCAGAAGTCATGTTCCCCAGCCCTCTAATCATTGCCCTCCATTGGACACTCTCCAATCTGTCCATATCGTTTCTGTAGTGGGAGGGCCCATAACTGGACACAGAACTCCAGATGTGGCCAAACCAGTGCTGAATAGGGGGGAAGAATCACTTCCCTCCATCTCTACTGGCAACATTCCTACTAATGCAGCCCAGTATGCCACTAGTCTTCTTGGCAACAAGGGCACAGAGTTGGCTCATATTCAGCTTATTGTTCACCGTGACCCCCAGGTACTTTTCTGCAAAACTACTGTTTAGCCAGTCAGTCCCCAGCCCGTGCTGGTGCATGGGATTGCTGCTGCTTAAGTGCAGGATTGTGTACTACGTATACAGCTTTGTGAGATTTTCTTTTGGCCCAATCCTTCAGTTTGTCCAGGTCTCTCTGAATCCTAGCCCTACTCTCCAGGGTATCTACTACTCCCCCACAGCTTGGTGTCATCCACAAACTTGCTGAGGGTGCACTCCATCCCATCTTCCAGATCATTGGAAGATACTGAATGAAACCAGTCCCAGGACCATCCCCTGGGGTACTCCACTTGATATTGGCTGCCAAGTAGATGTCGGACCATTAATTACTACCATTTGAGTCCAACAATCCAGCCAGTTTTCTAGCCACCTTACAGTCCATTCATCCAGTCTGTACTTCCTCAGCTTGCCTGTGCGAAATATTGTGGAAGACTGTATCAAAAGTCTTATTGCAGTCAAGATATAATATATCCACCGGTCTCCCCGCATCCACAGAGCCAGTCACCTTATCATAGAAGGCATTCAGGTTGGTCGTGCATGATTTGCCCTTGGTGGACCCATGCTGATGGTTCCTAGTTGCCTTCTTCTCTAAGTGCTTAGAAATGGATTCCTGGAGGACCTGCTCCATGATTTTTCCAGGCACTTAAGTGAGGCTGACCAGTCTCTAGTTCCCCAGATTGTCCTCCTTCCCTTCCTTAGATGGACACCATATTTGCCCTTTTCCACTTGCCAGATATCCCTCTCAATTGCCATGCGTTTTCAAAGATGATTGCCAGCAGCTCTGCAGTCACATTGACCAGCTTCCTCAGCACCCTTGGGTGTGTTGCATCCAGCCCCATGGACTTGTGCACATCCAGCTTTTCTAAATAGTCCCTAATCTTTTTTTTTCACTGCTGAGGGCTACTCACCTCCTCCTCAGAACGTGCTGCCCAGTGCAGTAGTCTGGGAGCTGATATTGCCTGTGTAGAATGAGGTGAAAAAAGCATCGAGTACGTCAGCCTTTTTGCATTATCTGTCCCTGGATTGCCTCCCCCATTCAGTTAAAAAACAAACAAACAAACAAATCCACACTTTCCCTGATCTTCCCCTGTTGCTAACATACTTGTAAAACTGTATGTCCTTATGTATAAGGAAATTCTCACTGTATTTAATGTTGTATTTGATAGGTTTATCTGCTTCCTAGATGCAAAACAATGCTCAATTGAGAAAAAAGGACTTTGTTTAAAAGAGACTGAACTTTTAAAAATGAAGAACAGAGAATATTTTAGTATGCTGTAATTCAGTGAAAGTATAGCTTAAACTTAAATAACTTAAACATGAAACAGTAACAATAGTCACAGTACATTAAAATTTTTCTTTTTATAGGAATGAGGACATTAAGCTAATTCTCTCAGAAAGCAGTTTTTCTAATCCTCAGATGATGAGAGCTCGGTATCTAATGTATCCTGGCTGGCAAGTATCTATACTGAAGTATTAAAAATGTGTTGCCTTACTTAATGTGAAGATTAAAGAGTCTCACTAGCTTAATTTATAGTTTTCAAGACCACTCATAGTCATAGACCACAGTTGCTTTGTTATCTCTTTTTTTCTTTCCGTCAGTATTTGAGTGGGTCTGGACTGCTCAGTTATTAATGTCAGGCAGTACCGTGCTGAAACCCGATGCAGATCCATGTGCTTTTACCTCTTCACCTCAAAGCATTTGCATAGGTCTGTATCGACGTGGCTTACCGTCCTGCAAGCCCTTGAGGCATGATAGTACTTATGATGGAGAGTGAGTGAGTGGTATAGATATGCAGTGTGAATATATTTTATGGTCTTTGGCTATACTAGTGCTAAGTATCTTCTCCCCCTCTCCCTCCCTATTTAAATTGACTGCAAGGCTGATTGTTTTCAGTGAAACAAGGAATGAAGGCCTAGGAAGGATTTGGATGGTTCACGGGATGGGTTAGGTCAATAATAATTGAAATAACTGAAAGAGATTTCATTCTGACTGCTGCTCACCCTAAATGAAATTAAGTAATGGCATCAGTCCAGTTGTTGGCAAAAGTTATCCCCAGCAAAATCAGCATCTTTTCTTGGCAGTCTCGGAGGCCAAGGGCTGAAACTATGTGAACTTGGCAATGTTTCCTGAAATTCAGGATTACAATACAGTGCTGGGCACAATCTGTTGTTGCTTTTTTTTTTTTTTTTACTTTCTCCTATACTTGTTCAGCAAAAGACACCATTCCTCAGAGCTATCCTTCTGGCCTATTCAGTATTGTGGTTCAATTTAGAGCTAGGCTGTCCAACTCCTATGCAGGTAGGGGCGGCAGGCCACACCAGCAGGGGCTGTGGGCCACACTAGTACACTACATGCCGCGTGGTTGGCCCAGCCTCACCCACAGCACCCCTGCTGCACCGTGCCTCGCAGGGGTACCACGCCTCACTGCATTGCCCCCTCAGATGCGGGCAGGGACTAGAAGCTGGAGAGGGACCCTAGAGACCTCAGCTGCTACTGGAGCTATGGTGGGGAGCAGGGGCTGAATGGAAGTCTAGGGGTCACAAATTAACTCATTGGAGGCTGTAAGAAAAACATCTACTGCATTTGCCTTACGCTCATAACTAACACTTACCTCTAAACTGGGTTTGAATGAAGTTTCTGAAGTAAACCAGCATGAGGCATTTAATGATCGGGCTTGGAAACCACACATCGCCAGAAGGGAAGAAGTTGGGACAGAAGAAACCACTTCAAACCTCTCGACATGAAGATTCAGTTTCTTAATGTGACACACACAGGGAAGGGAAACTAATGGCGGGAACAGCATTGAAGAGGTTCCTTTATCTTAGCCTTGAAACACAATTGCATACATAGATAGCCCTTCGTCTCGCTAACGCTGTGTTTATATTGTCGCTTCTTAGACATGATTTGTGTATTATTTCTGTCCGTGAAAGCTTATCAGTTGTGAAAAACCACATTTTCTTTTCCTAGAAACATGTTAGATTAGCTGAAGCATAGTTGAGATGCATTTAAGTCTATGAGAATTTCTGTTACCTGAGTTCTGATGAGAGACGATCTAAAATATCTTGTCCCAAACTTTCTTTTTAAAGGTATGAAGGGAAATTTGGATCTGGGTCTGTGTTCCCACCAATGGTTCAAATCTGCGTGTGGTTTAGCCGTCCTCTGGAAAAAACCCGCTTTGTAACGAAATGTAAAGGTAAAACTGAGTTTGGGCAACTTTGATTCAAATCACAGTTTATAATGGTTGGAGAGGGGGAAAATGTATAATAAAGCCCTGCACTAATCACTACCTAAGTGAACTTTTGCTTAGAAATGTCATTTCCCCATCCTTAACCAATGTAGCATATGTAATATTTTCACATCTTGCTCTGAACTTGTTTAAATAAGTCTGAATTTAGGCTTATAATATTTAGATGTGTATATATTGTATATTCTTGTGAATATGCTTCTAGAATAGATATAATCATGTCTTTCCTTTTTTCATAGAAAGACATTTTAAAGAGTGTTGCCTCCCTCAACATGGTATAACCTGGAAAAGGGGGATACAAAGATCCATTTTTGTATTCTAGCCCAGTTAAAAGCTCTTATCCTTTTTCTCCCCATTGGGGAAGTTGCATGATTTTTGTTGAAATTTCAAATAGGATGGGCTGCAGAGAATCTAGTAATTTCACACTTTTTGCTGTCCTTATTTAAAGATTGCTAGGGTACACAGTCTTGAATATGAGCTACACCAGAAAAGAGAAGAATAGATTCAATATATTTTCTTTCTTTCAAACAGCGATCAAGTCTTCACTTAAGCCAAGCCCTTTTTCTGGGAACATATACCACATTTTGGGCAAAGTTAAATTTTCAGGTAAGTGACAAAGTACTACTCGCCTGTCTTGTGATTGGTTGTTTTACTTGAGGTTTGCTTGCCTAATTCCTGAATAAAAGATAAGTGGTTTTTGCATTTAAAAGAACTTTTGTGCACATATGTCCATCCGTTACCTGTTTAAAACGCCTCTGAGATGAGCAGTCCGCGCTCTCAGCCCAGCATTTAAAGCAAATATGTGTTCTTGCTTGTTAGATTCTGATAAACTGATTGAAGTCTGTCACAACACATCATCTAACTCACTAAGCCTTGTACCTGTTCAGGAGGGGCCAACCCCTCCTGATTCAAGAAATGATAACAGAGATTGCAGCGGCCAGCAGGAATGCTTCCTTGTGTTCGTCGGCTGCTCTCTCAAGGAAGAGGATATGAAAGACTGGCTCAGAGAAACTGCAAAGCAGGTTTGTGGGTATATTTTCAGCCTTTTGAGGTTTCCTGTATATTACATGGCATAATGATCAGAGGAGAGATCTGGATGCTCTTAAAATACTTTTTTTTATTATTATTAAAGCAAATTGGAAACTGGTTAATCATCTGTATAAGGTAGCTATGATTCCAGTAATAGAAATGCTCTTTTCACCAAAACAGTTGAAAAGGTTCACAAACACCAACCGTAATTTAAAACTTATTTTTAAAACATGCCACAGGATATTCATGCAACAAATTGCTTGCCTTTGAATGCTTCAGGAAATAGAGCACATCTAGATAAAAGTATTAAGAGGATTTGGTCTCAGATATGGTTGCCCTGGAAATGGGGTAGGATTTCAGACCAGCTGAAGCATCAGGCAGGCAGTGAGCATTTTGCAGCATTTCAATGTGAAACTGTATTTGGGTGTAAAAGTAACAGGAGCAGCAGGGACTGTCATAATTAGGGTGTAGTGTTGCTATTCCTCTCTCTCTCTCTTCTTCCATGGCTCTAGATGTTCATCTCTCAAGCTCATAGTATCCATGTTTTGTGTCTATTGAAAGGTAAAAGTTGTTTTGAAAGTTTAAGCAAAAGTGTTTAGGCTATTTTTGGTCATTAAAATATTGACTGGAAGAGGAAGAAAATAGACTTGCACCGTGCGTGTGTGTGTGTGTAATACAGGGTGTTTTATAAAGGCCTTGTGCAACTTTAAACTTTAATAACTTTGGATGTATACATGATAGAAGCAAACTGTAAATGACAATTCAGAGCATAATTCATTACATCTTAACACCGTACAGCTCAATTTTCTAGACTTCAGCGTAACCACCATCTTTCGTGGTACATCATTCAGTCCAATTTTTCCAACTCATAGAAAACATTTTCCAGTTGCTGCTAAGTGGTTTCACGAATTGCATGTGTGATCCTTAACCCTATTCGTAGCTTACACTATGCTAAAAAATTTCTATTATGCTTTTAATTGCTGTTTCTGTTTTGCTTCTATCGTGTGTATATCCAAAGTTATTAAAATTTAAAGTTGCACAAGAACTTTATAAACACCCTGTGTATATATATTATTACATGCACACATTGAATGGAAGAGAGAGAAAAACTTTTCTTCTTCCTTTTCCATTCAGAGTGTGTGTGTGTAATACGTTCCTCTTTGTTTTTTAAAATGCCCTGCAGCCCTCTAGGACTGAAATTGCTGGGGCAAAAAAATAGTTGAGTGCTCAGGAGGAAGCCTGTTTTTTGATTTATATGAATTAGACTTCCAGGAAAACCAAGTATTGACATGGGCAGCACACTTGTTTTCTTCTACCTAAGTTTGTAAAGGGGATAGCTTGGGGAGGGCCTTTCTATGCCTGTTTTGCATAGGTAATATAGCTTCACTAGGAAAAGTAAAGTATTCAAAGTATACACCCTTTAAGATGGTCCAGGACAGGTTGGCTAATCTGCAGCATGTGCACCCCAAGTGGCGCAGTGAACCTAAGTGTGTGGCGTGTGACGGATCAGTAGCGCAGTAGCAGATAGGTGAGGGAGCAGAAAGCTGAGCAGTAGATCTGATGAAGAGTGCAAAGTAGGCAGAAAGCTGAGCAGCCAGTCAGGCAGCGGAAGGGGAATGAAGTGGCGCGGGGGCAGTAGGCAGGGGTATAATTTATGGCCTGCCTGCCAAAAATGTTGGCCCCACTGATCTAGAATGACTGCTCCAGCTATCCAGGTTATGGATGAACATGCATAATTGACTCTACTTCTTTTGACATGCATTCTGGTATCCTTTTTGATGTTCTGCTTTTAGTTTCTCCTATGCAATAGCAAACATTTTAGATTCACATAGCATGCTGTACAACACAGCTTCTCTGCCTCTATACCGTATGTTCTAAGTAGTTCTCCAAAGACCAGCAGGGAGTTTGCTGTTAGAGGTACCACTAGGACTCAAGTTTTTCTTCTTGGTTCATTTCTGTTTTTCCAGGTCAACTGGAGTATTTTAAAGAGAGAGTAAGACATGTCACATGTTATATAGCATGTAAACAAAATTATTTCAAACAGATACTGTTTCATCCATGGCAAAGGCATTGGTCCTTTTCAGGTTCTATTTAATGGTAAAAATGGATCTATTTATCTCTGTACATATGAAAAATATTTTTATTTTTAGGGCAGTTTAGCAATGTTTTTAAATTTTAACCAACTGTAAGCAAGATCAGTTTCAGAAAGTTGCATTTCCCTGGAAAAAAGGCTGCCAATAAGGCTTCCTTTAGCCTCAACACTAACAAGGGACTCGAGGGATTTACATAATTAGTATTTCAACAACTTATGCATATTGTATAAAAGAACTGCTTCTTTTAGTAGAAGAACTTGATCGCTCTTTAAGCCTTGTACCTGTTCAGTACAGGGTATTGTGTGTCAGTATTTAACAGCAGATATATTTTTATTTTACAGTCAATCATCTTTTAAGGTACTCTCAATTTTTGATCTAGTCTCTGAAAGAGATTTATACAAGATCTGTAGTTTTAATCTTTTTTTGATAATTTAGTCGTGAATGCTTTAAACAGTGATATTCAATATGTGCGTTTGCAAATTAACATACAGAATTTTTTAAAAGCATCACTTCTTTAGGCATAAGCAGATAACGTATGTATAGATTTGTTTTGCTTTTCCTACTTCATATTTATAAGTTTTCTTGCTGCGCTCCTTTTGTTAATTTAATTCGGCTATTATATCAGCTTTAGATGCATAACTAATGTCCAAATCTATGTACAGAAACCTCAGAGGAAAGCCCTGAAAACCAGAGGAATGCTGACTTTGCAGGAGATAAAAAACATTCATGTAAGTAGATGACAGTGGTAGGAGAGCTTAATTTGACTCTCACTTCATTAAATACCTTTTTATATGATAGAAATCTGCTGTAAGGGCTATAATCATGTGTTGACAGTGCTATCTAACTTCAGTGAAGTTTCCAAATAGCCAGATAACCTAACTGAGTTTAGGGAGTGGGAAGATAGGAATAGCAGTGGTCACATTTTGACAAGTATTGTATCTGCTTTGCCTCTACAACTACCCAGAAATAGCTACCATATTTTTTTCATGCATTGTTCGTGATGTGCTGTGCCTGAGGGGTGCAGAAACCTCGTTTAAGGTCGCGTGCACATAAAGAAGCTTATTGGTCTGTCACTGCAGCTTCTGCTGTTAATCTGGGTTTTGCTTATCTTGCTCTTGTTGCAATATGTTTTGAAACGCACACCCAGAGTGTTACTATGCTGCTCTGTGACCTCTTGTTAAAAGAGAAAATGATTAACCTCTACAACCTCCTCTTGTACACATGGCATTTCTAAAGCATCTAAGCGAGAGGTGGGCAAAATACGACCCATGAGCCAGATCCAGCCCACCAAAGGATTTTTATCTGGCCTGTGACAGTTCCCTGGGCCCTACCCAGCCTAGGTGTGGGGGGCAGCCCAGGCTATGGTGCATGCAGCTGGTCCCGCCACACCTGAGCATACAGCAGGGCTGGGGAAGCACAGCAGCTGGAATCTGCTTCCCAACTGCCCTAGCGGTGGCGGTGGGTCCTTCCAGCTGCCAGTGCTAATGTTGCTGCCTCCGCCAGACCCAGGCACTCCAGCCTATCAGCCCTGCACCCACTGCTGGGCAAAGTGGGCAGATTGGGTCTACATGGAAACCAGCCCGGGCGGGACCCATGCAGGCAGGGTGCGCTCGGCCAGGCGGGTGGGATGGGACCATGATTGAGCAGGGAGCAGCATCCAGGAGCGGGATGGGCAGGAGGGCCTGGGGTTGGGATTGCAGGGTGTTGACAACGCCAGGCTGGGAGCCTGGGACAGAGCCACTACCTGCTCCCCATATGTCCCTGTAACTGGTGCTGGCTCCATGGCGAGGGGCGTGCAGGGAACCCCTAGCCCCATGGTGTCACCACCCATCCCTCTCCTGGATGCTGCTCCCTGCTGTCCCGCAGCCCTGTCCCATCTGCCCAGCCAAGCATGCCCTGGCCTGCACAGGTCCTGGGACAGTCTTTGTGCAGACGCTGGGATCACAGAGCAGTGCTGGTGTAGGGCCAAGCCCCAGGGCAGAGCCACTTAGGGAGTTCTGGTGACTTGTTGCGGGTTGGGGGGGGGGGCAGAGGGTAAAAGGAGTTCTGACCCAGCCCAGGACAGCTCACCAAAGCTCCCTAAGTGGTCCCCCAGCCGAAATAATTGCCCACCCCTCATCTAACCAAATCCCATGTCTTAAAAAATCCTCATAACCATTAGCATCCCAGCTACTGTATGAACCTTGTTGGTAATTCCAAAAAAAACCCCAGGTGAGTATAGATATAACAGTCCAGATAAATTATCTTGCATCTGTCCCTGTCGTGATTGAAGTCTCAACTTGTAGATACCTTCTCTGTCTGGAAAATGCGGGGATGTTCATAAAACAAGAAACAAACATTAAGCCTTGTCCTCATTCTGTCTGAGAGAATTCTGTCCCGAGCAGTAGCTGCTCCGGAAACGAGCAGGGTGAGGGAATGTCGTTACTGAGTCAGAACAAATAAATTGTACTCTGTCTTGCACTGTTGCTTTGCATGCATGCTCACCAGTGGACCAGAGTGTGCCTTAAAATATAGGCACATCGATTTCCCTAAAAAGGGACAGAAGAACTTGGTTGCTTACTGGAAGCCCATCTTTTAATAAAGGTGGAATACAACTGCAGTTGTCTTCAGAATATCCCTAAGCTAGGAAAAAGGTAACATGCTACCCAGCTGTTGTTATTTTTTTCCAAAACTGATTTTTCTATATATGCAGAGTTAATAAAGTCAAGCAACAGTTTCTTTTAATCCAGTCTATTATTGACATGTTTTAAAATAACTTCTTGCATGTGTTAATTGAGAACTGTCTTTTCGCTCTGGCATTTCCCAGGCAAATTCTTCATAAAGATCCCTTGCAAACGCGTGTCTGCTTGGTGTGAGAGCAGTTTAACCAAAAAAAAAAAGCAACAGCTAGGTAGCATGCTGCCTTTGTCCTAGCTTGGGGATGCTATGAAAACAACTGCACTTGTATTTTTTCTACTTAAAACATGAGAAGAAAAGGCTCAGAAGCATCCACATAGTTTTCCATGCAACTAGTAGTGGATATGCAAGAGAAGATAGTCTCCCAGTCCCTTCACAGATCAGATCTTTCAATCCATTTGTTTTCCCTGTTTTGTATTGATCATAGTTTCATAGTTTCTAGGGTCGGAAGGGACCT